GATATTCTGGTAAAAATGAATATATACATGTATATATATATATATAAACATATCTACGTGTATCACGAAAAATAAGAAAAGCCCAAGGGATGAAAAAAATATATGTACACGATCCCTTGAGAAAGCAAGTGAAAGAGAACGTAATGTAAAAAGAAGCACAGTGATTAGAAGAGTCAATGGGAAAAGTACTAAATGATGTAAAGAAACAGGTTAGAAAATCCTGTTAATCTGTTCCTTGGAAATAGGGTATTTTGACCTTATTCCCCGAAGCTGCAAGTGTATTGAGTAGCATGATATAAGATAGAATAGGCCGATTTGTACAAGGAAAAGCTCTAGGTTAACTGTAAAGAGGAAGGCATGAAGAGATTGGAAAAGATTATTGCCAATGTAATTTCAAGTGTACAAATGCGGTCTTGAATCAACGGAGGGCAACAAGGTAAAGGGGATGTTGGGGAACCTGAAGCGGATGTGATCAGCAGATCGAGCGACCTGCATCGCCGTCAAGCTGAATCGCGAAGCATTCGAAGGGTCCGCAGCTTGGTCGGTCGAGAGTTTGGTGCTCAGTCTGGACTCAAGCTGGAGCAATCGATGTAGACATACGATAGGTACAGCCCATATTTCAGGCTGGTCTGTACCCAAACCAGAAGAGGAGGAGGAAGGCAAAGGACTGCCGGAGATTGGAAGTTGAGAAGAGCAAGAGCTGGAGAAGGCCTGGATAGCTTTGATGGAGTCCAAAGAAAGAAGCCGGACAAGCTGAGTAACCAACTGTTCAGCAACGGAATTGAGATAAGAACGACGCTCGGACGCCTCGAGCTGATGCTCCTGGGCAGAACATGTACCAGGGCCTGCAGTTCGAACTGCTGCCATAGTAGTTGTACAAGGGAGATTGGAGGATCCTGAGGTAATGGCCAATGAGGTGGATATGAGCCGGAAACCGAGCAGAAGAATGTCTGTACTGAGCAACACAAGACGCTCGAGTAATGGCGAGTAGGAACTGGCTCGCCTAGGAAAAAGGTAAGCATATATGACTAAATAGAATAATGAAAATTATTCCAAACGTATTCATCCTATTCGGCTTGAGATGCCGAAGGAAGAGTAGTTGAATTTTCTCATAATCATGTGAATAAAAGATATGAAAACCAAGATGTTGTGGCCGCAGTCTCCTTTCGATTTATAGAAGTGGGTTGGCCTCGTTGTCGCAACTTGGTCTTGTGGTCAGGGCGACTATGTAGAACGCACCTAGTCCGAAGTCGTCTGTCATTATAGTTGTCATGATTCCCAGCATCTGACAGTGGACTTGGTACATTCTCAGACGTTTCGTCGGCATCATCAGTTGGTCCTGCCATTCTCCGCGCCAAGCTACGAACTCGTGAAAGAGACAAGTGAAGTCAATCCTTCGACAACCGTTCCGCCGGAAACGGTTACACTATCACTCCTCTTTCCGTCATTGTCTATCTATCTACTCTTTACCCTCTTATCCCACTGTCACCCTATCACAGTTTCTCACTTGTTTACATTCCAAACTTGCCATTTACCCCGACCCCTCTCTTTAGACGGGCTTATCCCACTCGGGCCTCCAATCCAGATCATTTCATTGTCTCGTAGATCCTTTTCTTATCTTTCTGGCTGACGGATTTTACTCGGGTCCAGTCCTAGTGTGCATTTCACCCCAGTCGCAATTTCTTAATGTCGTAGAAGCACGTTCACTGTCGTTAGATAGGCCAGGACAGAAAGC